TTAGATTTAGTGGTCAAAGGTCAAGGTCAGTGATTTGACTGGTTGGCAGAGGCGTACACCTGCGAAGGTGTACTGTGTAAATTGTAAGTTGTTTGGACAAAGCTGCCCTTTCCCTATTTTCAGTGTTTGTGCTAAACTAAGTTATCCAGCTACTACAGTACCTAGAGCTTCATATTTACTGTACAGACATGAGATCAGTATCAGTCTTGGGTTTTCTCAGAATATATAGTCTATTACTTTAAAACTGGAACAACTGATTTTACTGACCACTTAGCAATGGCAGAATTAAGCTGTAAATATGACAATAACTATACTGTATGAAGCTGTAGCTCTTTACACACTTGGTGGCTACTGTGCAAACACAGTTGCACCCTCGGAGTTGTGTTTGTGGGCAAGACTAAAATTCATTCAGTTTAAGTCTCTTCAAATTTTCCACTATGTGTACCAGCTAGATGTTAACTGTCTCTGTACTGTTTGGTGTTGGGCTGCTAGTGTACAGTGAGTTTAACAGACCTTTTTCTACTTTCTCTGTCTGGATTCATAATAAAAGTTCAAGATGGCGCTCCTCGGTGTGCGCCGTCACAGTTCACTCAGAGTCAGGTTGTTTCTCTTTTGTCTCTTTTTTGCTTATTTGTGCCGTGTTAAAGCAACAGTTAAGACCGCAAACTTTAATTATGACCAGGCGACTTTGTTACTGCTAAGAGAGCGCAGTCTTTTTGGAGATTTTGACCCGAGCACATTGGACTCTCACCCAGAGCTAATATGCCATGTCAACACGACGCCATGCCGACCCCTGACAGAGAACTCTTCTGATATCAACAAACCAAAACAGAAACAAGGCAGACGGGGGGAGTTGAACAGAGGCTCTGGTGGTTGGTTAGCAGCGGCAGGCTAGCTAACACTGGACCAATGTTACAGTAACATTAGAAATGCTTTCTCAGTTGAACCTAGGCCTCATTTTGGTAGATCTGACCACCTAGCAACCCAGCTCAGACCTGCTTACACCAAACGACTCAAGGTGCAACCAGTCTCAGTGAGAACTGTTAACACCTGGAATGACTGTGCACAGGCCAGCCTGCAGGGCTGTCTAGAAGCCGCAGACTGGAACATCTTCAAAGGGGCCACAGACGCCATACCCCAACCAAAAACCATGATTTAATAGGGATATAAAACAGAAAATCAGGAAGAGACGTGAGGCTTTTAAGTCAGAGGACCAAGCGAAGTACAGGAAAGCCCGGTACAAGCTACAGAAGTACATCAGAAGTGCAAAGAAGGCATACTTCCAAAAACTGGAGAGCTACTATATGAATAACAACACCCACAGTATGTGGCAGGGAATCCAGGCAGTCACAAACTACAGTAACAAATCGACACAGTCCCCCAGGACACCACCCTCCCGGACAGCATCAACAACTTCTATGCGATTTTTGACAGGTTGAACACATACACCCCCTCAAAATCCCCCTGTGACCCGGGGGACACTGCTTTTCATGTGACGCACACACAGGTCCTGAAGGACCTGAGACAGGTAATCCCCCATAAGGCGGTGGGACCAGACAGTGTCCCCTCTAGAGTGTTGAGAGCCTGTAGGGATCAGCTAGCTAGTGTGTATACAGACATCTTCAACCTGTCCTTAACCCAAGCAGTAGTCCCTCACATTTTCAAAAAAGCCACTATCATACCGGTCCCTAAGACAATATCCCCCTTCCCTTTCACCAAATAACTTTTGGATTCCACCAGGTAATAAGTCGTTCCTGGCTTTATACATAAACACAGCAGTCTTATATTCCACTAAATCAAAGAATTTTAACAATTTAGACTGTATGAAAGCTACATTTGTGTGATCCCTATACCCCATCTTGTGCACAACTCTTATCGCTCTCTTCTGTAATATGTACAATGGTTGAAGTGAACTCCTGTATGTATTTCCCCAGTTTTCAACACCATACTCCAAATATGGCAAAATCAATGAACAATACAAAATCCGCAATGCTTTGACATTCTGGCATGATTTAGCTACAAGCACAAAGGGTAATGGTTTGCATCCCTATTGTACTACTACAAATAATAAATTCAACATACCAGTCAAACCGGAAGAATGGCAAATCAGCATTCATTTGTAAATCCCTCTTCTCTGTCAGCTCTCTCCATCTGCTGAAAATGGCACAGATGCAACTTTATGCTCCAAGACCAATTTTGTTGGTTTCTTTTCTTCCTTCTCTTTTTCTGTTCTTCCTTCTGTTTTTTCTACTTCTTTTTTGTGTAGCTGTCTCAGGTAACACTGAAATCAAGCACATTCACATATTGAGTCACAGCTGTGAGCAGGCCATACATTTCAGAATTTGAAGGGCAGGGCCATTTGGCCTTTGGTTTCATACATTGTCAGAGGGCACAAAGGCCACATGATATGTATGTGTACATAACTTATATGTATACAGCCTGAGCAGTAATGTAACAAACTAGGGTTTGGTGTCCACAGCATACAAGGACACTTTGACATGTGGACTGGAGGCACCAAGATTCGAACCTTCAACCTTCTGGTTGGGAGATGACTGCTCTACCCACCACACTGTCGCCTCCCCCTTTCTCTGCTGCAGTAAGACTGAAGGCAAATACAAAAATGTGAGAAATGTGAGAATATATGTCCAATAACCCCTCACTACCTCACCAAGCATAATGACATATCCAACTCTGTGATGTTTGAAGTTCACTGTGGGAAATACTATTACCCTGTTTTTGTGTATTGTGTTTTAATACTTTGTCGCTCTTATGTAACTTTTTTATTTAAAGACTAAGTGTTCTTTCTGGCTTTTGACTCCTTATCTGACTCCAAAGGAGAGCTGCACAAGAATTCCTATATGCCTAGACTGTCTGTTTATGCATAAATGGCACATAAAAATCTTGAATCTTGAAAAGACCTGCTTTAAACTGTTGAGCATAATGTAGCCTCTCGTGCAATGATGTAATGTCTTATTAAGATAGCAAATGAAACAAAGATGAACTCAAACTCAATCTGGATGATATCATTCAAAATCCTGAGGCAGAAGTTCAGTAAGACTCGCAACTAAAAATTGCACATGTTGCTTTATGTCCTGTTAGGTACAAACACCACCACCATAGTGTAATCTCGTGGCTTTGAAGTAAAACAACAGCCCATTGTTTCCTCGTAACCAAAACTATGCTTGAATTTTTCCCAGCCCTCCGTGAGCTTTACAAGGCACAAGTCTGGTTACAGAAGATTAGCTTCAAACAAACCATTGTTGCTTCGCTTTCTGCGCAGAAATGACAGACCATACACAGGGAGAGTAGTGAATTTAATGTGGAAGTGCCTTGAGATATTGTTCTATTAATGGCTCCAAGAAAACCATGGAATTTTCTCTTTGAATACAAGCTAAATAAGTTTGGAAAAAGAACATATAAATAGTTAATTTCACCTCTTTACTTCTTGTCTCCTTTAAAGGCACTTACAGCATAATCATTATTAATCATAATTACTCATCTACTTCTTTCCAGCCAATGTTCCTCTCTCAGCTCCTGCTGTTTTTGTTTGATTTGGCCAATGAGGTGCTGTGAAAGGGATCCTCCCCAGTAAAGTCAGACACCGTTGACCACTTCGACTCCCCTAACTAGAGCAAAGTAAAGCAGAGCAGCCACATCTGGCAAATGGTTCTCGCATCTGGTTTCTATATCGGCTCCTTGCACAGCCATCTACCACAGAGTATGATAGCATTCCTCAGAGACATGAGATGAGGATGATGATGGTGAGCTGGTTCATGTTCAGAGGTCAGGTGGATGCAGTAGGAAATGTCACTCACTCACTGTCAGACATTAAAACAGCTTGATGTTTTACTGGGGCTAAGAACTGTCCAGTCTTCTTTCCTTTTTAATGTGTTGCTATAGTGTCTCCAAAGAGAAGATGAAAAGTTCATATATGTTTCAATCTTCTGCAAAAAGTGAAAACAAACTAAAAAGCAAGATAGCAAAGTTTCGTAAGCACAATAAAAATAATTGAGACCAGACCAGTGTCATCAAAATCAAATGACATTTAAAACCTGCTTAGATTTGAGTGTTTTTTCAAGTTAAAAAATCACAGTGGTACGGTGATAAAAATTTATCATGCAGAAAAACAAAGCAATGATTTACTAATGGAGTTTGATCCTCCTCTGTAGGACTTTCTTGGCATACTGTAAATACATGTAATGCAATATCACCCTCTTGTGTCAAACTGTGTCTTCTGCATTCAGAGGGCTAGAAGTCATTATTTTTGTCAGGTGAGTATTATCTAATTTGGATGGAATAATATTTCACTTACCATTAAATAATGTATAGATATTATTCAGAAGCTGTCTCTACATTTAAACCTTCCATGACACTTCCGTTTGTCCACTTGTCCCTGTTTTTCCTCATCTTCTGTGACATTATCAGGCCCGAGGTGAAGTTCTTCTAAACACAGCAGATACTGATGCTATGTGCTTAATGGCAGTGTGTAGTTACAGTGGTCTGAAATAATTGTGTGATACGTTTAAGCAATTTATACTGTTCTTTTCTGAGCGGTATGATGACTGCACTGTCCCATGGTGTTTATACTTTATATTGTTGTACAGATGAACGTGGAACCTTCAGGCCTTTGGAAATTGTTCCCAAGAATGAACCAGATGACCTACTGGAATTGCGTTATAGTGAATTATAATCTATCTGCAAATAACTGTTGGCAAAATTACTTGTGTTGTGCATAAAATACACATCCTAACTGACTTGCCAAAACAAGAGTTGTGCTGTGTGTAGCTAGGCACCAGAGGATGATCTACCTAGTATAGATAAAAAATACTGTCCATTGTAGTTTGCAAAAAACTCTCTTCTACTGTAAGTACTGTTCTTGTGCTTTGCTTCTTTTACTATTTGAAATGATATATTTTATTATATGAATCTGTATGTCTCTCAGTCAGTGCATCCATATGTCTGCAAAACATAACAAAATGGGAACATGTCAACTAGGTTGTTGTTGCACTTTTTATTTAATGTAAAAGCATTCCAATTATCATATAAGCAATAAACTATCTTTTTTACACTCTCTGTACAAGAAGTAGCAGGGTAAGAATGTTCTGAAATAGTTCAGTCTTTACATAAACTACAAAACCCACTGAAACATGTAGTCATTAATGCCACATTCCAAACCTACCACTGATTTCAAATCAAACTACAGTGAACCGTACATATTGTTCTACCACCAGAACTGGCACAATATCTGAATGCACCATGTGGCCCCGTTTAGACAAACAGTAGGAGTGGGGATAAGATCTGATATCTTTGCGGTGGAGCACCTTTAATATTTGGTATCAGCAAAAAGAATCTAGATAATACAGGAAAATAAATTCTTCGTTCATGTTCCTCTACATTATTTTGGTTGAGACAAATTGTGTGCACTGCAGTCGAAACACATTCAAGTTTTTCATACTTTATGTAACAAAAGACTTTTATGAATCGTTTTAGGTTGATATCACATGTAGCTTTTCATGTATGCATTTTTAGCCAGTTTAAAGCCCAGCTTAAAGTTACCACCTATTCGGATACGGTTGTTAGTACTTTTTGATGAATCCTCAATAGGACTTTAGTTTTTATTTTCAACTCAATGGATGGCACTCACTGTTGGCCTGTTGGTTAAAATAAACATAAGTACCACAACATAAAAGAAAGATGGAGAACTGCAGCAAAATTTAGTTCAAATATAAACTGCCTCAGCCCTTTTTCTCAATAGCAGGCTTTAGTGGCAAAACTCTTATTTTGTTCCCCAGCTTCAGGGAGGTTCAGTGAGAGGGCATTTAACTCTGAAGTTGAACAAGGACACTTCATGATGAAGTCTTCTGACTAACAGTCAAGCTATTCCTGTTCTGCTTGAGCAGGTTAAAGTAGTCATTATTTAGAACCATCAAGATAGAAGAACTGCAACACTGAGGGGTCAAAAATAGCAGCAGGTAACATGATTTATGTAGCTTCAAATAGTCTTAAACAGTCGATTCAGATCCATTGTTTTCTGTAAGGAACAATGGGATTTATCAGCAAATACTATTTTTAATGACTAATTCTGCATTGTATTGTTGCTCAGCTAATTTAGTTTGCTAGCTAGATAACAAATTATTCAAGTGACCCAATATTTGAGAGAGACAGTCAAATAAGTTGTAAAACATGTTTTGACCTGCCCCAACTTGTCACAAGTATAATGACTGCTATTGATTTCAGCTTCTTACTTTGGAAGATGGCAGCCAAGTCAATGCAAATCTATGGCACTGCTGCTTAAAAAACTGCTACCGTATTCACAATACACAGATGCTGTATGTGTGTTTTTAAGACCCATGTGGTAAATTCACAAAATTAAACTGTCTGAAAATAATTTTTAAGACTGTGTCCATTACTTGCAAGGAACACCAAGTATTCCATCATAAAGAATATCAATATCGACATTCTGGTAGGGAAGAAGCAGGGTGCAAACCAAAACAAGAACAGCACAAATGCATCCAACGCATTCTGAATAGATTTTAAACCCTATTTAAGTGAATTTATTTTATAAGAACATGATCAAAATCATCCAGCTGTTCTTGGTGGAGTCAGAGACTCTGCTTCAACACTTTAGCACAAACCATTTTAAAATAAAATGAAACAATAAAATGAGAAACTGAAAATGCACAGCAGTTCTAAAGCCAAACTGTATAACATGCAACTGTCTAGACCATGAAAACACTTTAATAATGCATTTTAAAAAAGGCAGTGGCCAGACTCATTATTTATACAGTCCTAATCTGCCAAGGCCATGCGGATGGCATTAGTCTCTATATTTAACGTGACCAAAGACCAAAAAACTTTTCCATCTTCATAAAGAAATCTTTCTAAAACATACTGAAATGTATTTTTGCTCATATCTTGAAAACTGTGGGACTTAAAGAGGACAGAAAGCTTCATCATTTTTTCACAATTATGTGCATGTGCAGCAAGCTGGTTGGTAGGGCTTTTAGGCTGTCTTCTTACAGACATGGATGAAGTAGCACGGGGCCTGGGTCTGGCCAGGAACGTACTCCTTGAAATCTCCATAGACGCAGTGTTGTACTTTACCGTTGAAGGCCTCATTCAGCAGAGCTTTGAAGTTCTCAAGGCGGTGAGGGTAGTAGGACAGGCGGAATTTACTGGGGAACACAAGAGTGTATTAGGATTCCTCCACCCACTCAGTAAAGGTAGTTTTATTGTGTCTAACATATTCAGCAATGGAGTCCATCAATCTTGCTGTGTGACAGCAGCATTAAAAAGAGACTTCACAGTGAACCAACACAGACTGTGAGATAAAAAAAACAGAGGATGTACTTCCTGCACCAGCTCAGGAAGTTCGACCTGGCCCAGGAGCTGCTGATACAGTTCTACGGAGGAATCATCAAGTCTGTTCTCTGCACCTCCATCACTGTCTGGTTTGGCTCAGTAACCAAACAGGACAAGTACAGACTTCAGCAGACAGTCAGGACTGCAGAAAAGATCATTAGTGTGAGCCTGCCCTCTATGGAGGACCTGTACACCTCACTGGTCAAAAGGAGTGTGGAGAGGATCACTACAGACCCCTCACACCCTGGACACAATCTGTTTGAACTCCTCCCCTCTGGATGGCGTTACAAGTCACTGTGCTCTAAGACAACCAGGCACAGGGACAGTTTCTTCCCCCAGGCTGTTACTCTGATGAACACTTGACCAACAACAGTATGATTGGACAATAACCGTCAGTGCAATACCTGTAAATATAAACTGTACAGGTCTCCATTTTTTAAGTACTCTATTTTTATTCTTATTTTATCTCGTTTCCTAATGAGCATTCCTTCGTCTGTTTGCATTGTTTATTGCTTTGTTTATACTGTTTATTTTGTTCTACTTATCTATTTTGGCCTTATTTTGGCATATTGTTTACTTGCCCTTTGCTGTTGCCTTACATAAGGACATGTACATACACATTGAGAGCCGCTGTACCAGAGTCAAACTCCTCATGGCCAATAAAGCTGATTCTGATTCAGAAAAATGTCAAATGCAAAAAAGTCAACACAAAGAGCTATGCCAGAACTGGAACACTTTGATTATTATATTTTGCATGTGTATGGTGGTCATTATCAAATACAAATTGTAAAGTGACATCATACTGTCATATGTGGTTGACTTTGGCTGATACAAGATGATTATTACCATCATTTTTTGTGTATTGTAATGATTCCAGTTCTGACACTTCATAAAAGTCATCATGGTTTCTTATTTGTCTTCCAGTAACTCTAAAGTTTTAAAATACCTGTAATCTCTTAGTAATCATTAAAATACAGTGAGTCGGTGTTACTTTTATTATCTCCTGAACAAACAGTAACGGCATAAGCTGAGCAGCGTGACTGAGCAGTGTGACAATATAAGGAATGCGTACATGTGGAGGGTTTTCAGACTGCTTAGGCTTTCCTGTGTGTGTGGGTGGGGGTGATTCGAAAGAAATTCAAATTTATATTCATTACATTTATGTAATGTCAACTAGCTTCACTAGCTAATGTAACATAGCTAATTCAGTATATGTTAACTACATTAGCAATTTCTTTACTTGTAAAATAGGCTACATTCTGTTATCTCTATTATTTATCTCCATTGACAAGAATTACTCCCCAACAAAGTTATAACCTACTTCATGTATTCCTTGTGGAGGTGAACCTTACTGATGGATGTCACTACCATCCTTAGTTGACAATACAGAGAAGCAACCAATCAGCTGTGTGATTAGCTTGGTGAAGCTGCCAAACGCATTCAACAACAAACGTTCCTATAAACACTGACTGTTGACTGACAGGTCATTTCTGTTGCCATCTTACATTTCATTTTAAGATCTAGTCACCTCTCCATTATTTTCAGCACATATAACTCATACTGTTGTTTTACATTCGTTCTGATATGTCGTCCTTTTACATTCGTTCGGCTTAGGCGCTGTGCAAAAACACAGCACTGTATCTGAGCCATTCTCAACTGTCAGAGATTGTCATAGCATTTATATAATGATAATTACAGCTTTATGGATAAGTCTGACAATATATGTCATATTTTCAATAGCTTATATGAAAAATCTAACAAGGATTGTTTGTGTATCCACACAATAATCCTTGATTACTAAAGATTTAGGTTTTCTGTAGTAACAAATGGGGCTGTTCACTGTTCGAACATCTTAGCGGTGTGACCTGACCTACCTGACTTCAGGAGGATTCTTGACACTGGCCTGTGGCACGTGGAAGGTGTAGTCCAGAGTAATCATATGGGGCTTACTGTTGACCCACAGCACTGAGGTGGAGATGTCCAGAGTTAGATCACTCTGCAACACACACATTTGTGTTACACAGTGATGAGTGTCACACATCCAAATAAACTTCCCACCACAGGCCACCTTCTTTACATTGATGTCCATGTGTGAAGTCTTAGAAGCAACTGAGAAAAACCAGGAAGCACATGACTGCTGACTTAGTATTTATAATTAGGCATTCCAGCTGGATAGTTCCTGCTTTGTCTGGACAAAAGAATATGGGACTTCAAGAAAAAATACATAAAATAAATATGGCTCACTGCTTTTAGCACCTGCTGTCATGTCTCTGTCATATCTCTGAGCTGTTGCCAAAAGGCTATAGATCACTCTGCAACACACACACACACAGCTCTGGCTGTTGCTTTAAATATCAGAAATCTGAACTCAAAGTTATACGTATTAGGAAAAATGTGGGTTAGAAGAATAAAAAAGAAAAGATCATGAAAATAAATTTTGCACAAAAATAACAGATTTAGGACTCAACTGCTGCTAGAGATGGTCTAAGTAGGCCATTTATAAACAATATTGTGTGTCCAAATTGTCTTTACAAAGCAATGAAGAGCCAGATAGTGCAGAAAGTTCAGACTGAAACCAGAAAACTGTAACCACCCCAAGCTCCTTCTACAAGTTGTTCAATAAATAAATAAAATAAGGACATTTAAGACTGAATATTTTTACAATCCACACAGAGTATTTCATTTCTGTCCGGCTGATTAGCTGTTCTGCGTTTTTTTTGATATTCCCCTGGACTGAGGGTGCAAACATTCAATGTCAGAGTTTATGAACTAGCATTAACTTTATCCACCTGCAGAGAAGACTAACTACACCCATGCTATATAACAGCGTGCTGACCTCGGCAACAACTGTATTCTAATGTTAGCTTAGCTAGTCTTACTAGTTTGCTAATAACTTATTTGAATAGTTAGATCTTTGTGAGTGACAGCATTGTGTTAAAAAAAACTAACAGAGGAAGAACTATTTACAGATGTTCCGTCATCATGGTCGCCATGTGTTTGTGTGTGTGAGAGAGAGACAGACCATCGCACAGAGGGACTGAGTGAATATATGAGCTACACACGGCACTACACTGAAATAAGATTTAACCTATTTTAAATCAGTATGCGGCAGTCAATGTTGGAATTGTGGTGGTCCAACACAAATAAATCTATTTATGAGAAACAATGCAGATCATAAGGAATCACCATAAAGTGACTGTGAGCTTTGGTACCTTGTAGTAGATATTTTTGCCATGTGGCACCTGACCAGTCTCCAGAATATAGTCGTAGTTCCGGTGGTCAATGATAAGGATCCCACCTGGTCTGACCATACTGGCGATGTTCTGAAGGGCCAACTTTTGGTCACTCTGGTCTCCTAAGAGCCATACAATATCACTAACATAAATTAGAGATAGTCAGATTCAGAGGAACAAAGTCAAATCACTAAACACTGAGTGTTTGTGGTCAAGTGAAAACACAGCATCAATTTAAGGACAGATTTTGTGGAATGATTCCCAGATGTTTGTGGTTGTTAATGTGATTTGAGGAGTAAATGGAACATTAAGGAAAGGCCTAACAACAGTCAAAAGCCTTGTTTTTGCTGACCCCCAGCTGTTTAACTTCTCACCTTGTTTCAGTGATGTAGAAGTGTGTCAGTACACTGTGACATCGCACGGATTACTAAACTGAGCACACAGATTGCTACAGTGCCCAATGATTCTCATCTTAATTTTTTTTCTACCTCATGACCCAATGAGGGTTCTGTAAAATGCTGCTAACACCTAAAGTTGAAAATGTAAAGGTTTGAATAATTTAATACCACATCGTTAGAGTAATAGTGGTTCGAAGTTTCAGACCTGTTGCACCTGTAACCACACCCAGCAGTGATGTCAAAGTGTACTGACACATCCTTGATTAGTAAAGTGAGTGCATGGATTACAAAAGCAGAAACTGTTCTATGCTCATATAAGAGCGTGAACTCCTGACTAATACTGTTGTGTGTTTGGGGGAGTTGGACTAATTAGGGGTCTCTGTATGCCTGGGGAGGGATTGAGGGATTGTGTTCTCCAGCTCTGTTGTCATATTCTGTGTTCTGTCATGCCCTTTTATTGTTGTGTGCAGTCCATTGATTGTATGTAGTTAATGTGGTTTAGAGGAGCCACTGTGCGGCACTGTTTTCACATGGAGCGTTTAGTGGAATGGACAGTATTAGAGCGGGCAGCATGAATGCATTATTACCGTAATTTCCAGACTATAAGATACTACTTTTTTCGCTTCATGCACACACCCTCATCATGAAAAACACACACCGAAATGCATATGATGCAGCTTTCAAGTTAAAGGCAATCGATCTGGCTGTCGAAATATCTCATGTTACAACGTGGACACCTGCGGCTATGTACAAACTGTTTTTCATTTTAAATTTAGTGGGTGTGGCTTATATTCAGGTGCGCTCAATAGTTTGAAAATTACGGTAGTAATTTTACGGTAGTAAAGTGCCCAGTAAGCACAATAACTGGGCACTGTACTGTTTGCAGGCCTTGGAAGTCAATAACTAGGCCAATAAACAAAGAAAATAACACAGGAAATCAGCCCATGAGCACTGATAAATAGAAAGTAATAGATAAAAGATAAAACTTTTTTTTTTTTATCTTGCCTAACAATACAAAACAAGGCCATTGGAAAAAAACATTAATTAAAAAAGGCCTAACCCTGGCATACCTTTGAAATCTGGTAAGTGAGCAAATGAGTTGCCGAGGCAGATGGCGGCATCAAAACCATCTCCTGGTTTCTGAATATCATTTGGTAACGTCTGCCAGGTGGCCTCTTCAATAACTGCAAATAAGAAAGAAACAAAGGCCAAAAGGAAAAGTGTGAGAAGAGAAGAAGGATGTCACCTTGATTTGATTTGATTTATTCTTGATTTATTCTTTCAAGCATATAAAACAGTTGATATAACAGCACACATTTTTACACATAATCCAATATCAATTTGCTTATACCTAGTACATGCTTGAATGGAGTAGGAAGAAGTCAGACTTATCCAGTCCTACCCCATGACATCATCTTACCATCACTGGTTTGCAAGCAGTAAATGATTCACTTCTACACACAATAACACTATAATCATGCAAGTATACTAAAAAAGAATATAACAGTGTTAACATTCTTACATCACAAGTAATATACTAAAGAATTATTACATAGTGTTAACATTCTTACACCACACCCACAATGTTCCATCTAATTAATCATTAAACCTGTTCTTGCATATATCTTGATTGACACATACCTTTATATTTATGTTTAAACTCATCAATTCTAGTACTATTTTTTATGTCCACACTTAAATTATTCCATAGTTTTACCCCACTTATGGAAATACAGAATCTTTTTTTGGTTGTACGTATAGCATGAATTTTATAATTTAACTGACCCCTTAAATTGTATCCCCCTTCCCTTTCATCAAATAGTTTTTGAATTCCACCAGGTAATAAATTGTTCCTGGCTTTATATATAAACACTGCAGTCTTATATCCCACCTTAAGAACAATTTGAGGCTGTATCTAAAAATACACTTGATTTAAATGTCACACAAAGTCAGTAAAGACAATGGTGTGTGTGACTTCCAGGTGTTACAAACAAATACGACAATTCAAGGTCATTACAATGGGAAACATCATACCCCACTGGTCAAAGGCCGTTTCTTTTCTTCTTTCCCATCTCGCGGTCAGTGCATACTTCAGCATTTTGTCACTGGCATCCACACTCACCATGTTAAACCCCTCCTCCACCAACATAATGGAGTCAACACTACAAAATAAAAAACGTTATGTATAAACCAACAGCCTCTCCAACTCTACCACATCTAATCAGTTTGACTAGTCTGAGTAAGAGTGTGGTTACAGGACAGCAAACAGACCTAAGATGGTTTATTCAAACAAAAAGGTTTTGCTCCTTGACTTATTTTGACTGCTGAAAACAGCCACAGATATTCGGTCATGGCTGTCACCAATAAATTCACTAAGTACGGAAGAGTATTAGGGCCACTGCATAAATTTTTTTTTTAATTCTGACTTTAAAGTCAGAATTCTGACATTAATCTCAGAAGTATGGGTACCTGTAGGGATCCAAGTTCAGCGAGTGCCTTTGAGTCATGCTGGAGAGGAGCTACGTGCTGCCCAGAAAATGTCGGATTTAAGTGAATTTTTGCGTGGTCGAGGAGTCCCAGAAGAAGCAATTTCATTAATGGAAGAGGAAAAGGTGAGTAAAAAGACTCGTGTGTTACTTTACTGTCTGGCGTTTGTAAAAACACAGAAAATGTTATGGATATGAAGAGTGATAAACGCAGACACAGGTTAGCGTCTGTTAGCTAACATTAGTAGAAATTAACGTTGTGCATGTAACCGTGTTAGATGTTAGTCAGAGTCTCCACAGTCTTGTCTAGATAGCCAGCTACCGATAACCGGGTGCCCAG